TTTTTTGAGACGAAGTCTCACTCTGTCCAGGCTGGAGTGCAGTGGCTGGATCTTGGCTCACTGTAACCTCCACCTCCCAGGTTCAAGTGATTTTCCTGCCTCAGGCTGCTGAGTAGCTGGGATTACAGGTGCCTGCCACCACGCCCGGCTAAATTTTGTATTTTTAGTAGAGACAGGGTTTCACCATGTTGGCCAGGCTGGTCTCGAATTCCTGACCTCAGGTGATCCGCCCACCTCGGCCTCCCAAAGTGCTGGGCTTACAGGCATGAGCCACCGCGCCTGGCCAGCATGATGATTTCTAAAGATGGAATGGGGTATGTGTGCGTGCGTGCGTGTGCGTGCATGTGCGTGTGTGTGTGCGAGTGTGCGTGCGTGTGTGCATGTGCGTGTGTGTGTGCGTGTGCGTGCGCGTGTGTGCGTGCGTGTGTGTGCATGTGCGTGTGTTTGCGTGTGTGTGTGTGTGTGTGTGTGTATAGAGAGGCAGAGAGAAGGAGGAGGAAGAAGAGGAGGAGGAGGAGGAGATAAGAAGCATAAGTTCACGGTTTCATTAAATTAACATCCTCTTGACTGTCTCAAAAGTATCAGCTCACAAGACGGCAACTTGAAGTCCTTGTACCTAAAATTTCCTCTCTAGGCAAAGAAGTTTAGCACAGAAGTTGTGGGAAAGCACGCCTACCTCTTTCCTTATGATCACGTTGGAAAAGAAGCCAAAAAGTAAAACATTCCCTCCGGGCAGCTACTCAAAGATGGTATCAAGTTCGGCTGGATGCTCCCACCAGTCAGACTTCCTCCTTGCTGCAAACCACACTAGACACACTGCAATAAGGCCCACTGGCTCTGTGCTTCCTTGTCTTACTTGTTTATTTCAACAAATGCAGGGCTTCTTACACAGGCTTGGAAGGGAGACCAAAGGGCCACCTTAACCCTGATCAGGAACAGACCTTCTGCCTCCATGTGACTCACCACACACTTCCTCTCAGACCTGTCTTGAAGGAAGGCTCCGTTGTGACACCCAGTACACACCCATCCTGTCTCCCCTCCCTCGGCCCATCAGAGAGTTTCCTGGGAGGGGCTGGTGATCTGAGCTAGTAAAAGGTTCTAGTGTGGACACTCAGGCTTTGCACCTCTTCCAAATCTCATTTGTATGCATCTTGGAAAGAATCTTCTACACCTTAAGCAGCAGGTTGGCAGATCTTAACCTCTAGTCACCAACACAGCTCAAATACCATGCCCCCTCCTCAGCCCTTTCAAGAGAGGAGCCCATGTGTAGGTATCTCAGCCACAGTCCCATAGCCAGGGGAGAGGGCAGCTACTGTGTCAGTCCAGAGATGAATTCACAGACGAAGGGACTCGTTCTGTCCCCAAGAAGCTTTCAGTCTAGCCAGAGAGACACATTTGTTATCTCATTAAATAAATGTTTATTGAGCACCTACTAAGTTCCAGACACTGCTCTAGGTTCCTGGCATACAATAGCAACCAAAACAGAAAGAAATCCTTTCCCTCCTGGAGCTTATTGTCTAGTGATCAGTGAGGAGCTAACCTTTACACATGTAAGTAATAAAAGGAACCAAACCAATGAAACATGCAAAGGACAAAATGATGTTGCATTAGAAGGAAGAAGGAGAAACACTTCCTGGAATTAGACAGGCTTGGTGAAGAAAGAGGAGTATAAAGATTGTGTTACAATTCAGATATGCCTTTCTAGGTTCAAGTGTATGTTAGCTACAGGAATGGTTATAGAACATTCAGATATTCTCGAAAAACACTGTGCTTCACCTCATGTTTGATGACTATTCACGGGGAGAATTGGCCAAGGGAGGCAGAAATGAAGGGCTCAAAGGTAGCAGAGTAGGTGAGTCCAAAGGTGGTGCTAAGATTCTAAGTCAGGTGTTGATAAAAAGAGTCAGACTCTGAAACATTGGAAGAGATTTATTCTGAGTCAAATGAGTGACCAACAGCCCATGACAAAGCCTCAGGGGATCCTGAGACTATGTGCCTAAGCTGATTGGGCTACAACTTGGCTTTACAGATTTTAGAAAAACATAAGGCATCAATCAGTACCTGTAAGATGTACATTGGTTTGGTTTGGAAAGGTAGGACAACTGGAAGGTGGGAGTGGGGGTGAGGGCTTCCGGGTCATCGATGGAATCAAAGATTTTCTTATTGGAAACTGGCTGAAAGAGTTGAATGATTTGAATAGTTGAATGATTCTGAAGACTTAGAATCAATAGGAAGGAAGGTCTGGTTAAGATAAGGAGTTGTGGAGACCAGGGTTTTGGTATGCAGATCAGAAAACTGATGGTACATGTTTCTTATTAGACTTAAAGAGTCTGTTCTGTCAGTCTTAAGGTCTGTGTTGATCTTAATGCTGGTCAGCTGGGTCTGAATTCTAAAAAGGAGGAGGGTATCATGAGGCATGTCTGATCCCCCTTCCCATCATGGCCTGACCTAGTTATTCAGGTTAATTTTGGAATGCCCATGGCCAAGAGGAGGGGTTCATTCAGATGGCTGCGGGGAGGGGTTCATTCAGATGGCTGCGGGGAGGGGTTCATTCAGATGGCTGCGGGGAGGGGTTCATTCAGATGGCTGCGGGGCTTAGAATCTTATTTTTGGTTTACACAGGCTTATTATCATCAACTTATAGCAATCTTCTCCCTCCCAACCTAGCAACACACACACTTGCTTCGCACATAACTTTGATCACTTCTTCTCCCTCAGGTAGATTTTCATTGTCATTTACCCTGATTCACCTGCACTAAGAGGTTCCCTGGGATGCAAACACAGCCTGTGCCAGGCCCTCACTCTCCATACACTCTGGGCTCCCCGGTGCCCCAGAGAATCCCTCTGCATTGCATTTCATCACCAAAGCACAAAATCACAAAATCATCCTCACTCTGAATAGCCCCTCTAACCTCACAAGGAATATGGGCATGCTGGTCAGGAAATATGCTTGAGAATAAGCATTTCATGAAAGTCACCCCAAAGCATGACCAAAGCATCAGAAATCACAAGTGCAATAATTGAGTTGAACATCTTTGCATAATTTTTTTAAAGCATGAAAACAGAAAGCCAAAAAAAAAAAAAAAAAAAAAAAAAAAAAAAAAAAAAAAAAAAAAAAAAAAAAAAAAAAAAAAAAAAAAAAAAAAAAAAAAAAAAAAAAAAAACCAAAAACAAAAAACTGTGCTTCCTTTGGGCCATCAGTAGAGAAACAGAAGAATTCCTTTTGGTTAAAACAGACCTAGGAAGATGTAGTTCGACCAACCCCAGTTCAGGACGCTCTTCTGCAGCAACATCCTTGTCAGACAAACACACAGGTTCTAAAGCGTGAACCAAAAAGTACCTGAGACAGGTCTCAAACAATTTAGAAGTTTATTTTGCCAGGGTTATGGATCATGACCTGTGACACAGTCTCAAGAGGTTCTGAGAACATGTGTCCAAGGTGGCTGGGTTACAGCTTGGTTTTACATACTTTACAAAGACATAAGACATCAATCAACACATGTGAGGTATACATTGGTTTGATCCAGAAAGGAGGGACAACCAGAGGGCGGGGGCTGACAGGTCATAAGTGGATTCAAAGGTTTTCTCTCTGGAAATTGGTTGAAAGAGTTAAGTTATTATCTAAAGACCTGGAATAAATAGAAAGGAGTGTTTGGGTTAAGATGGGGGTTGTGGAGATCAAGGTTCTTATTATACAGATGAAGTCTCTTAGGTGGCTGTCTCCAAAGGCAATAGATGGCAAATGTTTCCTAGTCAGACCCTTAAAAGGTGTTAGACTCTCAGCCAATCTCTTCAGTATCAGGAAAAGACCTGAAAAGGGAAAGGGATTCTCTATAGAATGTAAATTATCTGAAAAAAAAAATAAACAAACAAAAAAAAAACAGCTTTACAAGGCCGTTTCAAAATATGGCAAAGAAATAGGCTGAGCGTGATGGCTCACGCCTATAATCCCAGCACTTTGGGAGGCTAAGGTGGGTGGATCACCAGGTCAGGAGTTGGAGACCAGCCTGGCCAATATGGTGAAACCCTGTCTCTACTAAAAATTAAAAATATCAGCCAGGCATGGTGGCAGGCACCTGTAATCCCAGCTACTTGGGAAGTTGAGACAGGAGAATCATTTCAACCTGGGAGGCTGAGGTTATAGTGAGCTATCTCACCACTGCACTCCAGCCTGGGTGACAGAAATATATTTGGGGGTAAAATACTGTGATTTCTTTTCAGTGCCTGTTACCTGCCATATGATGCTATACTAGAGTCAGGTTGGAATCTGGTATTTTATTGCTACAAAGAGCCTTGTTCTGTCAGTCTTAGGATCTCTATTTTATTTTTTTTAACTTTTATTTTAGGTTCAGGGGTATTACATGTGCAGGTTTACTATGTAGGGAAACTGCGTCGCAGGGGTTTGGTGCACAGATAATCTCATCATCTAGGTCGTAAGCATAGGTCCCAATAGGTATTTTTTCTGATCTCTTTCCTCCAGCTTCCACTCTCAAGTAGGTCCCAGTATGTGTTGTTCCCCTCCTAGCACCCAGGTATTCTCATTGTTTAGCTTCCACTTATACGTGACAACATGCAGTGTTTGGTTTCTGTTCCTGTGTTAGTTTGCTAAGGATAATGGCCTCCAGCTCTATCCATGTTGCTGCAAAGGACGTGATCCTGTTCTTTCTTATGTCTGTGTCGTATTTGTGTAGTATTCCATAGTGTATGTGCACCACATTTTCTTTATCCACTCTACTACCACTGATAGGCATGTAGGTTGATTCCATGTCTTGCTACTGTGAATGGTGCTGTGATGAACATACGTGTACATGTGCCTTTATGGCAGAACAATTTATATACTTTTGGGTACACAGCCAGTAATGGAATTGCTGGGTCAAATGGTAATTCTG